TATATATAGATATAGATATAGATTTAGTTTCGTTCACAATTTCTTTCTTTTTTTTTTAATTTACTACTTTCATTCTATTATCTCAATTTATCGCATCATTAGGGTATATATGGGTATTAAGATAATAATTACTAAATATAATAATTGGCACTTTAATTTTTATGTGCAATACCCTTCTTAGTGATAATTAAAATTATTAGGACTACAAAAAATTTAAAATTGATTTAAAAAAATATATTAATAAATGTTATTAAGAGTAGAAAGATAGGATTGTAAATAGAAAATGTGTATTTAATGTTGTGTAGGAAATGAAGTATAACAAATAAAAAAAAATGTTGGAATCATGAAAAAAAAGAAGAAGATAATGCTAAATATCAATAGAAGATATCAATAGGGATAATACCAGATATATAAATGAAAAGCCAGGAGAAAATATACTGTGGAATTGGATTTGGTGGTCTGCTTTCATCGAGACTCTGGTAGTGACAAGTTGAAATGTGGAATTTCGGATGTTGCAGTCGATTATGATAGAGAGTAGGATTGAACCCGGTCAAGTTTTATAGCACATTACCACTTTCCATAGCCTTCATGACAACCGTTGGGAAGAATTCTCTTATTATTTGGGCATCTGAATCTTCGATTTATTCAGTACTCCTCCGTCCCATAATTATTGTCCACTTTGCCCAAAAAATTTTGTCCAAAAATTATTGTCCAATTTGACTTTTTATGGATCAAGTTACACATTTGTCCTTAGTAAAAAAACATTATCCATAAAATCTTAGTGGTTAAACAATTACTTATGTAGGGGTATATCCGGTTGTTTAAGGTAAAATATAGTTAAGTTTGACCAAAAATAAAATCTTTCATTTTAGTAAAATTGGACAATAATTATGGGAGGGAGGGAGTATTTAACAATATGGCGAATGAGTGTATCATGAAAGAATCAACACTTAACAAATTTTATTGCCCCGTATTTATTAGGATCACTTTGGAAAATTAAAACTACAGTGATAGTAGATCCACTAGGCACTTAGCAGCAAGCCATTTCAAGAAATTGCACCTGATTAAGATTCGTGGACCGAGGGCCTCTAACTAGCCTTTTTTGTTTTTGGGCTTGGAAAACTCTTTACATATATTATGTGTCTTCACAAAATTGCAATGCCTGATGCCTCCGTCAATTCGGAAGAGTAAGGGCAGGAATCCAAGCAGATCTCGTCTGATTTTGTTTGTTTTGCTGGGATTGAGGGCGTCTCCAACCGGGCCGGTAGGAATGGAGGGATTTCATCTCCAACGCATCCACAACTGTAGCCGCTCCGCTCCGCTATGCCTGTAAATCAGCTCCGCTACACGCTATCCATGGAGGGGTACTATTCATCCGCTATGGTGGCCCTCCTTTTCTTTTTAAGTTTATTAATTCAATTTGGGCTACGGTTTGAGGGGTTTTTGGGCCTTTTATTCCTATTTGTATGCTCTTCTGGATCAGTTAGAATGGGGTTTTGGGCATTTTTATTTTAATATGTATTATAATCAATTTGGAAGGGGTTTCTGTCTTTTAAAATATATGGCCATTTTTATTTTTTTCCTCCCTTCATGTCGGAAAAATATTAATTATCTAAAAATATAAATCTAAGAAACAGTATGTATTATGTTATTAATTGTAAAATAGAGGTCCAACTTTGGATATCCAACAAAATTTAAATATTGGTAGAGATGGGAAATTAAATAGATGTTTGACTTTCCAAAAAATAAATAAATAAAATTATAAAATAGAGTCTTAAATTAAAAAGAATTGTATAATTATACAATTTACACCCACAAATAACAAAAGTTAATTTTATAAAAAAAATAATAAATAATAGGATATGCTGAGAATATTCCTTTTAGATGGATGTTATAGAGGAAATGAGTTAGAGATGCTGACACTGTTTAAACTGTAAAAGTAATGGGATTTCACTGTTTCAACTCCAAATATAGGGTTTAGAGGAGATTTGAGTTGGAGATGCCCTAAGGGTTAGAATGCGAGAGAGTTTTGAGTTTCTTTTTTCGGATGTGCTATAACCATTAGGATTAGACCGTAATACTAATATTAATACAGGTGCAACGTATTCACGAAATTTAAAATTTTAACAGAAGTATAATATACTATCCCCGTCTCAAAAAAATAGTTCAAATTGAACTTTGAGAATTGTACTAGTTTGGGTCGGAGGGAGTAGTAGTGATTCAAAATTTTGTATGTATCCCAAGGAAATAGAGAGGGGAAAAAAAAGAAAAAGAAGAGAGGGGTTTTAAACGCTTTCCTCAAAATATTTTTGAATGTTTTTTTTTTAATGCAAGTTCACATCATTATATATATTAAAGGAAAGAAAAATAATCGATACGTGTCGCTAATTGAGACCATCACGCATCACTTTTAACTTATTATCATTTTAGCCATTAAAGTTCTATTTATGTGCTACTTTATCTTCAATTTTATCGATTTTATATTTTCAAGGACGATTAATTGTGTCTAATCCCCAAAGTCCCCTAACCTATAAATAAGTCATAGACATCTAGACATAATTTATGTATTTTTTAATATATTTTTTAATCCAAACATAACATTAGTTAGTGGTGACAATTTTTATTATACAACTTTTCAAAATTTTTGTTGTAATATTTTTGGCCAGATCTTACAAATATACATCTCATAAATAATCTCAATATCTCTCATTTTGATCTACAATTAATTAATCAAAAAAATTTTAAGGTTTTAAGAAATATTAATAACTACATTATCTAATTAATTCTTTTAGAAGATAAATTTTCAACATTGACAAACTCGCGCAAAGCGCGGGACACATACTAGTTGTTATTCAAATGAAGATGTTAGTCCTATAATATTTTTCCCCCGAATTCTCCAAGTGGCCGTAGTTGTCTAATAATAAAATTGTGATGTATGAGATATATTTTGGGTTGATTAAGGGTAACCTCTGGAACTATTCTGAAATTGGGTATCAAAATTGTTGGAACAAAAAAGGACTAGTTAAAAAGTGAAGACAGAAGCGCTAGCAAATCGAAGTTTAATGGTTAAAAACAGCAATAGAAATAACGGAAGCAAATAATAAATCAATATAATTTGTAGGAATGAAATGTAACATCTATATAGTAGACATAGTATTGCTACGCAAACGTTTTAAAGGATGTTTGTGAGAAATGAATCATTTGAAACTTCTAAAAGTAATTTTGTATGTATCCTAAGGAAATAGAGAGGGGAAAAAAAAAGAAAAAGAGAGGGGTTTTTAAACGCTTTCCTCCTTAAAATATTTTTGAATTCTTTTCTTTTTTTTTTAATACAAGTTCACATTGTTATTCAAATAAAAATGTTAGTCCTATAATTATTCCCCCCCCCCAAAAAAAAAAAAAAAACAAAACACAACAACAACAAGTAACAACCGTCATTTTCCACATTTTTATTCTTACTAGACAAAAGAAAAAAAAATAATTATTTCGTTCGTCTCATAATTATTATCCAGTTCAAAATGAAATATGAAGCTGGATAATTTCTCGAGATATCAGTCTCATTTATGTACCCAAAAAAAAAAAAAGATATCAGTCTCATTTGATTCACATTCCATCTTGGCCGCACATTGTTTGCTTGGCCCAAATCACCACCGTTGAATATTTCGAGACGGCGACGTTTTTGTGATTCCTTTGACCCCACCTTAGAAAGTTGAAAATCAGCCTACCGTATCTTCAATTGGCTGTGTATCTTCCTTCCGTACGACCCAAAATTCCAATTGCAACTCTGCGGCTCTCTGTCACACGACACAATAACAGAAACACTTTTTTTTTTTTTTTTTCTCTCTCTACACTACACTACTACTACAAGTCTACAACACACTTATCTCGCTGGTAATTTGCCTTCATTACTCTGTCCTGCTTTCTCTCTCTTACTTACTTTAGTTCCCGAGGCGACAGAGTTGGAAAATGGCCACATAACCAACCGGCGAGGGGGTGGCGACGGAGTTTTAGTGCGAAATCAACGCGCATTTGAGGTGACCGGTGGCTTCACCAAGTGTTTAACGTTGGCTTCTCCGTGCAGCAAAAAGAGCCACCGGTGGCGACTCTATCTCCCAAGCAACTTCTTCCGCCGGTGAATTTCTGTCCGATCACTTTCTTTTCCTCCGCGATTTTGATAAATCGATTACGAAACGAGCATTTTGTTACTCTCGTTGATCTTCATGTTGCTATGTTTTTATCTTTAATTTTTTTCTTTTCTTTTCTTGATTTCTTTCTATTTGTCATTCTTGTTATTTTCTTCTTTTTATGCTGGATTTTCTACGAGTGGAAATTCTTGGTGTTCATGTTTCTTTGAATTTTATCCCCTGATTGAATCAATCAAGTTGGGTCTGGCTCTTGTCGTTTTTTTTTTTTTTTTTGTTTCCGTAGCTCCACATAAACCAGAAGTAATGAAGTTTTGACAAACACAATGGCCTAAATTTAATCATAGCATGGTAAGGTTTTATTATAAGAACCTGCCCCGATTTCTTGGAAATCTTTTGCTGTTAGTATCTTGATGGGTTTATAGGTTGAGATTTCTGTACGTGGATAAGGATTAGCACGTAATTATGTAAATATTTCAGGTTTCTTTGTGTTTATGAAATTTTGCTTACAATCCTTTGGTTTCAAAGATAGAATGGTAGAGATGGAACGTCAGTATGAATTCAGTTGGAATGCAATCCACTTAATTTGGTTAGTTTTACAGCATTGGACTAATTGTTAATGCTTCGTTTGCTTTAATCATTATCTAGAGCTCTGTCTTCTCTAACCCTTACGATATTCTGGGGGATAAAACTGCGAGGATCATGTAGTTTCAAAGGGGTGCTGTTGTTAAAAACAAGGGTGAGACATTCTTCTGTATCAAGAACCTTATACCTTCAATTTCTAGTGCTTGTTTAGATGAGATGTTATGATTATCCTCTGTTCGTATCGTACAGTTTCTACGAATTTGAACATCTTGTATGGATGAAACAGATATGGTATCACTTTTCAGCTCATTTGGAAGAGAAACTTCATATAAGGTGATTAAAGATGAAGATGGAATCAGCAAAGGAAATGGTCGAAGAAGCAAAGAGGGCTGGTGGTTCACGTAATGGTAAAGCTGGATCTCCTTTCTCTTTGGTCTGCTTCCATAGTTTAGTAGCTTAATTTCTGAGGTGATCCGTGCTTTCCTTAGGATTTACTGTTCTGTTCAAGACTTTGATTGCGGCCTTTGCTCAAAAGAAAGAAAAAAGTTGTCAACATTTGCAGAGGTGCTCTGTGCAGTACCCAGGCAACCATTGTATCCTTCAATTTCGTCTTCTCTTCTGAATTTGCTTCAGCCAAAGCAAAATGAAGGCTCTAGTGGAGGTCTGCTTGGAGTTTCTCCAGTGCAGGAGCAGAGATGTCTTGATATGTTACAAGGAACTATTGTAAGTGGACTATGCTTAGTGGTAGACAACAATTAATGTCGTTGGCTCATTGTTTCTAGCTTTCTCTGTTTGGTCTGAGTTTTCATCTATTTTCCCAAAACTGCTTGCAGGATCCTTGTAGACAACCACAGGATGAGCCTGAACTGGGAAAGACTCATCAGTATCATGTGAGTTTTCTTTTTTTTTTTTTTTTGTTGCCTGTTAACTGGTATATCTTTACAGTCTTGTTAACACAGCAGAGTCTTCCCTATCTCCATAAGTCAGGCCATGAATCCTTCACCTTTCGCTGTAGTTAGATTATTGGTACTGATCTTGGGATTTAGTCTCTTTTCTTTTCTTGGGGGATATGTAAACTTCCATCATTCCATGTTTTGGAGTTTCCGTCTGCAGACTGCAGAAAACAATTTGTTGTTGTTTTCTGTTCTCTAGTGTTACAAAGATTCTTTTGGTTTTTCTTGAATATCTACATATCTTGTCAAGAATGTGTTGTAATGTAGAGAGCCAAATTCCTTTCAGCCTGAACAATCAGCTTTTTCTCACGTCTGGAATCAGGAAGCAAACCTGGAAGTATCTAACAGTGATCAAGCTGAAAGAGGGATGAACCTTGATCGTGATCGTGCTCGTCCTCATGGCACAAGCATGGTGGGTTTCAAATTCATAAACAAAGATTTAAATCAAATTGAGATCATATTGGCATCGGATGGTCTTTTTGACCTTTCCTGATGGTAGAGTGGGTGAGAAATGTTAAAATTACTCCTCATTCAAATTCAAATTAAACTATATTTTATATTTAAATCTGATCCGACTTGTATTATATACTGTACTCAGGAGATGATAAAGCGAATAAAATTGAAAGATTGAGCTCCCATTTGTTGTGCGCCTACGCAGGTCCCCAGGCTGTAGGCAAACCTTTGGTAGAAATGTTGAAGACTGAGGTAAGTTTCCCATATCTTCGTGGAATACCGAATACTGTATTGGATTTTTGCCCTTAAGCTTATACTGAATCATTATCCTTTTCTTTCCTAACGTAGAGTTGGGATGTTGAAAACTCCAACAAAAAATACAAGTCTTGGATGGCAGCAGGTACTGCGGAAGATTGGCAGAAAAATGAGGCCGCAACATTGGCTGCCAAGGCTGAAATCGACATCAACAACAATCCAACAGATTTAATGATTGCCAGTTTTGATGCTGACGGGGTAGTTCTTACTTCCTCCCCCTGATCAATTCCAGTTTAATATAACATCTATCTTAAGTTTTATTGTACTTGTGTTCAAAATACTTCACTGTGTAGGGCGCGAGCCTACATGTGGTGAATCAAAGAGGCATTCAGAGGGAGACTGAGATGGAAGGTGTTGGATCTGGTTCCGTACCCGCTTTGGCACACCTGCGCGCCAAGTAATTTAATTAAACCCTCATCCATCTACTTGTATATGATGAATACTAAAAATAAATAAGGAGCTACAACCAGAAAGTTTGCCCGTTATAGCCACTACATAATATCATGTTTCTGCAGACTTGATCTTCTTCCTGTGTTGACAATCAAGGAAGCAGCTTCGCATGCTAGAGAGGCAATTGAGGTTGCTTCCATAGTGGATGAGAAAGGTACTGGGGGTAAGATTTCAGTGGTTCATCTGGGGGATTTAGGGTCAACTCCATGTACTGAGGAAGAAAACATCACAACAGGTTGGAGTCGGACAGATGAGTTCTTTGAAGGTTTGGTGGATGAAGTTGATATCGATTTACCTGCACCTGAAACTCCCTGATTTCTTTCTTGTGTTTGGACTCCAGTCAATGATTTCCGTGTAATAGAATTTTTATGTACAGCTCTGTCCACTAATGCAATTTCACCATCAAATATACATGGTATATATGCACTTGTACATAACTCCTCCATGAGTATTGACATATATACTAATACTATCATTACCAGTTTGAAAATAAATGTCAAAAAATGCTACTCTTTTTGCTGCATTAACTGAAATTCCAACATTATACGAAAAGAAGGGAATGTGAAGTAAGGCAATGAAATCAAAACGGTGGAAACTATAAAGGACAAGAACTGAGAATCACTAAATAGACAATCCCATAATCACCGGTGTCTGACCTCAAAACGGTGAACATTTTCACAATGTAATTTTTTTTCCTTTTTTTTTTTTAATAAAACAGAGACGACCAAAGAAATGTATATCATTATATTTTGAAGTTAAAATATTCAAATTTGTATTGAATTATGAGTTTTATATCATCAATAAAATAAAAATTTTAAAGCTGATAATAAATAAAATACTATTTATTTTTCTTTTTCTTTTTTTTTTAACAGGGTAGTCACTGTTAGGATAATTTTGAAAAATAAGATTGGTGTCAATAAAGATGTTGTCATGTTTTTCTTTTGAATACAAACCTTGTCATCTTTCTAAGTAGCTTGCAAAAATTTATTTTACACTACATTATTATCCGTGATAGATAAAAGTGAAGCTTTAAACTTAGTTTACAAAATTTACTCCTAAACTATAATAGACAGACAAAAGCATTAATCATAAGGCCTCCATCCGCCATTGTCCATTGCAGATCAGCCCTGGACACACGAATGGTCAGCCGAAGAAAATTTTGGCCCAATTTCCACGAGAAGGTAAAACGGGATTCTTACTTTCTTTTTACATGATGGTGTTCAAATTTATTACGGTGGAACTTTTACAAAATACTCCTCTCCATCCCAAACATTAGTGTTAACTTTCATTTTTAGTTTAGTTTGTAATAAAAATAAAAATCCGAAACCGAATAATAAATTCGAGACAGAAGATATACAAGAATAACAAGATAACAAGAATTTCCTTTTGGATATTATAATAAGTATATATTATTATAATCTCAAAATTATTGTCTAGTTTAAATTTTTATTTTTAATACGATTTGAATTAAAAAAAGACAATTCAAATTGAACAATCATATTAAGACGGAAAGAGTCTCAGACTGTGTTAACCTTATAAAACTGAGAGTCTCAGCCTAAACCCTTAAATCTACACCATTTATTGCACTTAAGCTTACTGCAGTGCAGATTCCACAATAAGAAGGTGTTTACTACTGGAGTAACATATAAGACCAGCATATCACAATTGCACCCATCTGGCAGCCAAAGGGGGACCCTTATGATCTTCCAAAGCCAACAGAAATGAAGAAATAGATATGCAGATATGGCAGCTGAGATAAGGATAAGAGCCTTTGTATCCCATTGGCTACAAAAAAATCCATGCACTTCATCCTGGCCGTTGCTTTCCAAAAATCTAGCATAAGCCAAACATGAATCTCTAAGATTGAAGCAGAGCCACAAAATTTGCTTCTTAACTGAATTACAAATGCATACACAAAAACAGACTATGCTTTCTTAGTTAAGCTTAAACCAAACAGCAGTTTCTTCCATTTCCTCTCAGATCTTCTTTCTTCAAGCCATTCATTTTACCATGGCTGCTGTCACAACACAAGCTTCCATTGCTGTATTCAGGCCATCTGCCTCGAAAACCAGGTTCCTTACTGGATCATCATCTGGTAAACTGAACAGGGAACTCTCCATTAGACCCTCAACTTCTTCTTCTTCATCCAACAATGCATTCAAAGTTGAAGCCAAGAAAGGTGAATGGCTACCAGGCTTGGCCTCTCCAGCTTATCTTGATGGCAGGTAGGTACTGCTACATTCATAGTCATTGAACTAACATTTATCATTCAACATTCACTAACGAATTCAAAAATGCCGCCTTTTTGCAGTCTCCCTGGTGACAATGGCTTTGATCCATTGGGGCTAGCTGAAGATCCTGAAGACCTGAAATGGTATGTCCAAGCTGAGCTTGTTAATGGCAGATGGGCTATGTTGGGTGTTGCTGGAATGCTATTACCTGAAGTTTTCACTAAGATTGGGATCCTCAATGTTCCTAAATGGTACGATGCCGGCAAGGAAGAGTACTTTGCTTCATCATCCACACTTTTCGTGATCGAATTCATCTTGTTCCACTACGTCGAGATCAGGAGATGGCAAGACATCAAGAACCCAGGAAGTGTTAACCAAGATCCTATCTTTAAGAGCTACAGTTTGCCCCCTAATGAGGTTGGCTACCCAGGAGGGATTTTCAACCCCCTCAATTTTGCTCCAACATTGGAAGCCAAAGAGAAAGAAATTGCTAATGGTAAGGCTACTAAATCCCTATTTGACCTATATCAGAGATTTGAGTCTATCAAACATAATTGATAACAATTTACACACTAACTTTGCAGGGAGATTGGCCATGTTAGCTTTCTTGGGATTCATCATCCAGCACAATGTCACTGGACAAGGACCTTTTGACAACCTTCTGCAACACCTCTCAGACCCATGGCACAACACCATCATCCAAACATTTGCCGGCAAATGAAGAGATGGTTAAACTGGGAGGGAAATGTTATTTATGTTATCTTGTAACATTGAGTGAATGGTTTTGACTGAGATTTGAAGCTTTGTTGCAAACAAATTAGAACTTTTGATGTACAGTGAAAACTAAATTGGCAATTACCATTCCAATGTTGTCAACTACATCATCAACACAAGAGTATTTACACCAACAATCCTATGGAACATATCTAACAGCTAGCTCAGCCTTGGATAGCTGATTCTTTCTTTCTTTCTTGCTTACTTTCTTTTGTAATATAAATACTATTTACTTTTTATTTTCCTGCTATAATCTCTGACCGAATCAGTTTAATTTAGAAAATGGAAAAAGAAATGACAAACAAGAGTTTCCAAGGCCTACAGGAAAGGACTAACCTCCCATGCACTAGGAAGATCTTGTAACTCCAAACTTTTTTGGCTACTTACTATAACTAGTCCTTAAGCTATGATCTTCCAAGTTCCAAGTAAAAGTAAAATTGCAGTAGAGAGGAACCCATTTTTCGCCTCATCTTCATCAAATCAAGGGTGATTTGCTGTCTGCAGAAAATAGCCACAAACGATAATTAAACTGTCAAAATAAGATAGTGAACCTCTGTAACATTCATCTATGGGCTGTGCATTTGCACTAAATGGTTGTATTACAGATACTACCAATCTACTGAATCCATGTTTCTCAGCGAAAAATGTAAATCAAAGAGTAAGGTAATTTTAAACCTAGTGTGTCTACTTAACTGCAAAGAGACATTCCACTTTCACCATTCAAAAAGGAGGAAAGCAGCAGTAAAATTTCCTCCCTCTTTAATATCATTCATCTTTATCATGAAACAGGTTCCAACATGGAGCTCTTGGCAATAACCATGTTTCACAGACACAACGGTAATGTCAAACGGATTTCCGATTTAGTGTAAGACAATATTTCATATTTTGACTCAAAAGAATTAAAGAACTATAGTATCATAAATTTCCAATCATAAGTTGAGCAGCAATTCATAGATGTTTAAAATGCAATTGCAGCTTCTACTAGAACATCGTACATGGCGGTTTAGAAACTAAAACAAAGGTAATGAATTATGTCTTTAAACTAATAGAAACAATACAATTGAACGAAGGGTGACGAAGTTTCAACGTTGTACAGATGTAGGATCACCAAGATCAATTTTTTAAAATTCTTTTTATTTTTTCATATGCATCGATCTGTCCGGGTATTTTATAAAGGGTGAGAAAGGCAGTTCAACACAACTCAAAACAGAATCCATAGGTTTCTACGGCTTTGTTATAAAAGTTAAACACAACTGCAGAAGGAAGTTCAGCAATAAAATTCATTACAAGAGAAAGAAGTAATCACCTGAGGAAATGAAATCTCGTTAATCATATTGATATCACAATTATTAGATGCAGGAGTCCACGTATGACTTGAATTTTCAATGATGGATCCAGGCAATTCAAAGTTCCCTGGCATTTGATAGTTTATGGGATTCTCTTGGAAATTCACTGCTCGGCCAACCTCCAAATTTTTCATATCCGGTATATTTAGATGACTATAGGGATAGTATGGGTGTTGCCCCCCAAGTTGTAATCTCAAGCATGCAATTGCATTTAGATCATCCATGGCACTACTTTCTCGTGTTAGATTATCAACCTGTCCGGCACTATCCACTTCAATTTCTTTACCAGAGTTGAGAAAACTTGAGCAGCTTGAAATAGATGCTTCTTTGGAAGCAACTTTTATTTTTCGAATGTCTTCAGTCTCTTCTACATTTCTGTTAAAGAAACCAGCAGGACAAGGAAGGGAAAAATCTCTGGAGCTGTCAATGTTATCAATAAATGCCGTATTATCAATCTCTGACCCTTTTCCTGTGCTAAAGAGCCCAGAACAGCCAGGGAGGGATAAATCTCCAGGGTATTCCAAATCTCTGCAACCAGAAAACAGTTATCAAGCTTTCAGATGCAATTTCAGTTATATGGAACTCCAACAAATATGAATTGCTTTTTCTCATGGATATACTCATTTACTCAAGTAGTTTTCATCCATATAGCGGTTAAATGTTTATATAAATTTTTCTCAAATTTAAATTAGATAGAAGAGGCAAAGTGAGAGTGAGAGCTTATACATTGAAGTCACCATACTAGGGTAAAAATCCAAAGCTAGAAAAACAAGCACAAAGTTTGCCAATTAAAGTATACTAACCTCCTTGAAAGATAGTGCGAGTGCGAGTTCTCAGGCATGGCCGCATGAAGGTTCTCATCATTTGGAATCCATGGTAAGCCTGGATCTTGTTGGTGATCATCCATTGTTATTGGAAATTGCATTGCATTCTCAAACTGAAAGAAAGAGCATTTCACATTACATTTTCACTGAAAAAGCAATCTCCAGGTCAAAACTCAAAAGTGCCCGTGTGAAAGCAGATCCAACCACTCATCCCCCACCTCTCCCCCCTTCCCCCAAAAAGCAACAAAACGGAGCCACTTACAGAATTAGATGGCATCAGTTGACTGGGGCCATCCAAGGGCATAAGTTGGTGCTTAACAAAATTTTCCTGTAAGAACAGGCAAACCACAGATAGTCAAAATTTTCACTGGTGAATTCATTATGAGCAACAGAAATCAATAATGAGGTACAGGTACTCCCACTAGGATAGAGAGGTTTTAGAGTGTAAGTTAATGAGATGTTGGGTGATTTCATTTAAAGCATACAACAGAATTTGTCAAGTATATCAACCTTCAAGCAGACTTGTATTCTTAACTTTATGATTCCCAAGTTATCACAGTTATGCTAGAATGTCTGAACAATGAGACTAAGGAATTGATGTATATTTCCTTATCACTGATTGAGTTGTGAGTTGCAACTAACCTTATGTGCACGAACCCTACTAAGAGATTCCCTCAGTGAACTTTCCATCTGCCTGAGATGTTCAACATCTTCTACCTTCTCTGGATTACTCCACCAGCTGAGACAACACAATGTAAACAAAGATGATTCAAGAACCTTAAAAGACCTAATAAGTCTACGTACACACAACTGATTAGACCACACAAAGACAAGCTATGAAATGTCTGCATGGATTTCAGGATGTGCAGAAACAAAAGTTTCAACAACTTAGATAATTGGACAATGAACTTTATAGTCAACAGCAAAGAAGGAAGCAGAACCCTGTAGTGCGACATTAACATTTACATTCATATCTCATCCAAACATTCACATCTCAATGCATAGATGGGTGAATCAAACCATTGAGTTTGAAGATTGAACAAGTGACAAAAATATTTCATCAGATTTAACATGCGTTGAGATTTGGTGGCACATATTCAACTTGTAGGAGTTCTCTCCCCAAAAAGACCAAACGTCTTGAAATAATTTCTGAAAGTGGACTGCATGATCCCTTATCGGGCAATGCTGATGCTAGACTGTAAATACCAGAATGCATTCAATTCCGAGTGAAAGCTCAAATCACCAAATTGATTGAACTCTTATCATATAAACAGAACATAAAATGCATAGTAAATTCGTGAAAACAAATTTTGGGTTTTCTCCAACCTTTAATTTGCAATCATTTTGTTTTTGAGAAAACCTTGAACTACTCAATTTTGAAAAATCAAGCACATATGATCATAAAAACCTAACGTACATGTGAATAGTGTCGTCTCAAAGAAAATAATCACTATGTGATTACTGCTTTTAAATGAAAACAATCAAGAACGACTCTAGTCTTTCCAAGGGAAGCACATTTGTAGAAATTCAAGAAATGCAGAAGACAAGAAAACACTTGAAAGAAAGTTTCCCGACCAGCACCTGAGTTTCTTGTGGATGTCTGTTAGTTGACCTCGCAGCAGACTTACTTGATTGCACAGTTCCTAAAGTTAACAGATCGCATACTACATATTACTAGCAACTCTATCTCAGTGAAATGAAATCAGTTTGAAGGAGAAAGTATGAGAGATATCAGGAAAACTGAACGTACCTCGACTGATGGCGTGCTGCAAGAAAGGGATGATTCACAGGGAGTCAGTAATTTGTATCACAAATATGCCAAATGGTATCCGTATTCAAACATGGTTATGTACCTTGTATCCAAGAACTCTTGGACATTAATATCATGGTCCAGCTTTTTAAAAGTCTTCTTCAAAACCTACAAAATGCACCATCGCAGAAGGAAAACATTTCAGTTCATATAGAATGCAGAAACTAAGAGAAGCACAAAAGTGAAACTAAGATGGACTATGGACATAGGACTCGCCTCAAGGCTCTCCAGTTTCCTGTTTCAGTAAGGGCAAATGAGAAGAAATCAGTTAGTATTCTTGTAAGTTACAATATAGACCCAGGCCTACAAGAGATTTAGTCACAACCTTTTTGCCCTTTCTTGAGGAGATAGCTGAGCAAATTTCGAAATAATTTCATCAAGGCTGCTGAAAGGAAAGAACAATTTACCTCTGTTAGTATTCAACCCTCTCCAGTTATCTACGATAGACATAAAACACAAGTATACCTTATAGGCAAGCAGAAAAAGAGAAACAATCAAAACTATTGTCTATGTTGTTTTCTTTCAGAAGTAACAGTCTTAGAATGAAACATGGAAGTCTATAGTCAGAATTTTTCAATGTTTAATATAACATAGACTTTAAGCACAAACATGTCATATAGGCTGATTCCAGCTCTTCAATTACGAAACAAAGGAAACCGAAAGAAATCCCACATCCTATTAACTCCAATACCACCTATAATAACAGCTACGCAGATTTTACTACTAGTGATTGGTGATTATGCTCTAGGATATATATGAATCTAATGAAGCCAATGTATTGACTCAAATCCACAAAGTTTCCTTTTCAAGGTGAACTTCCAAAACTTTGAGATTAAAGAAATGTGGAATAATGAGAGACAAGACATGTACTATCTTACCAGCTATTTGACTGATTTCATTTTATTTTTCTGGAGAAACCATGGATTAGAATACTAATCCATTAGTAAGTAAATCATAGCATTCACTCTTTCAGATTTTACTCAGTATGACAGTGTCAAGCCTTTTAGAATCAAAAGTTTTACTCTAGATATGAACTTATCAAGCTTCCATACTTTCAAGGGAAAGCTCTTCGGCTGGAGATCTTTTCATCAGAGTCCCTCATGTCAGGTAGTCTTCCAAATGCAAGAAATTATCTCGTCAAACTGTAAAAGCTAGTAACCATTTCTCATACTAGACAGCAATCACTAGCACTGGCGATTAGAGTAAGGGGAAAAAAAAAAAACAAATTAACCATGTAAAATATATCTGTAAGTCATAATTACGCTAATTCTCCTATAGCTCCTTAATCCTTTTACTAATAATATGGTCAGGAAGTAATGTTGCAAATTACCTGCGTGCTCCACAAAACATTGTCGGCTTCCCATTTGGGGAGAACATCAGGAGCATGATATCAATGTCACATAACACAGAAATCTCTTTGGCCTTTTTTAAGATCCCAGAACGCCTCTTCGAATAGGTCACTTGCCGATTGCTATTGCTTTCCAATCTCTTTATCTTCAGTTTAACTCTTCCCATCCTGCATAAACAAAGTTAACAAACTCTTCTCAGATGCAAAACAGAATCCCTCTTGGGCATTCAGTTTTCCCCTCCTCACCTTTCCCAACAAAACAACATTGATTTTCGTTACTGTCCCTTGAGATTCACGTTGCAGTCAAATTAACATGAATTGGGGAAAGTAAAAATACAGGACTCAAACATATGCATCTTCAGGGCCATTTCCCTTGTCCACTTCCCAAAATGACCAAGAATTTTTTTTTTTTTTCAAAATCAAGCATAATTACCTTAACACACTGAACTCAGATACAGCTCCCGGATTCCTGAAAACTGATGTCACAATATTTCGCAAAAAAAATCTATGAAAAGAATCACTAAAAGTTCAACTGATATTCAAGCAACCCATGTCCCAATTTCCCTCCAGGTCCCCTTTTCGATGACCGTTTAAGGAATCTAACCAAAAAAAAAAAAAGCATAACCCTTTTCAGACGAACTGAAAAAAAATCTACAGAAGCCGAGATAAAAATAGCAAACACCCTAAAAAGGGAAAATTTCATCTGAAGCAAATTAACAGAGGAAACAGGACATCCATAATGAAAAAGTGGCAAAATACAAACTCCCAAAGAAAAAAATGAAAATAAAGGGAAAAAGAAAAGATACAAAACACCAGATAAAAACAAGCAGAGATAATCCCAGAAAAGAGAGAGAGCTTACTAGAGAGGTGGAGGAATCAGTTATGGAAGCTTTAAGCAGAATTGCGGTCTTGCTTTGATTTCGGCCGTTAAAACTCGCGGGAGAACCGGGTGTTGTCAGTTGTGTCATCAACCTAACCAACTTTCAGTCTTCCTCAAAATAATTTTATAGAAATGCACACATAATCCTAGTACTCCCATAATCATCCACATGTTATTACCATAGAAATGAATTAATATATAAAGTCTTTTTTGTAAAAATAAAAAATAAAAAATTTACAGCTAGGAAAAAAAAGTTGTTCTGGAAAATTTTGTTCCAAATGAAAATATTTGTTTATTTTGTTTAAAGCCATTTCAATATATTAGTAATTATAAATACAAAAATACCACATATACTCATCATTATGATGACAAAAAAGAAAAAAAAAAGAAGAAAATGAAGCGAGTAAATAGTTAAACACGTGTAGTATACTGAGTAGATGTATTAACTGAACACGTGTACTCGACGGATTAGATATATTAATAATCCTCAAGTTCCAACAAGTTCGTCAGACTTCAAATCCAATCCATTGACGTTGATTAGGTATAAAGTTATAGTCGCCTTCTAAGTTTCGGGTATAATCTGTTTTGGCTATAATTAAAATCTTTAAATTTACCATTCACACAAGTTTTCAAAGGTTGACAAGTAATACCATAGAAATTGCCTCACCAAAACAATTAAAAAATTCTTCATTAAACTATAATTTTAGTAGAAGAAAATAAACAAGGGAAATTATGATCCAACCACATTAATTTCTCATATCTTATTTTAGATAATAATATAAAATCATAGAGATGATGAAGAGAGAAAAGAAAAGACAGCTCCCTAAAGTAACCCTCATCCCTTCCTTTCAGAAGAAACAGAACAATGATAGAGGAAGCCTTAAAATCTTGTTTACTGAAATTCTGAACTTCTGTTGTAGTTGTATGTGTTATTATCATTCTCCTTTCTGCCACATCAACCTGTTTTATCCGATCTCCGTCGTTTTCTATATTTCTCTGAGTGAAGGTAAGCAAGTGCTCTGTACTTTCATTATAGTACATATCATGTTTTCTTGTAACAAGATCTGGCAGCTTAAGAAGTTCTTCCTAGGTCTTGCACGCACAACGGAATCGTCCAATAGACTCAAGATTTAATCTACTGAAAATATTATTTAGCACATTTTCATCAATGTACAATGAATCATTGCTTTTCATATTTTCTGTATGGTCCATTTTTCAACTATCAGAAGAAATGGAGACAAACTCTGGTTTGTGAATAACTAATTATATTATTAATATCTAATTTTTGGAGTATTTATATAAATGAACTGATACTTCCTTCTATTGTCAGTTTTTATTTGCTGTGGTAGAAGAAGCGTCAACGTAATTAATGGATACGTTATACCTGGAACCACCATTATCCTTTTAACTTCTCCCACCCTTCTTCATGATGAGTAACTGATGTAGTAAAATGACTAGTTACATCAGGTCGTTTCAATTTTCAAGTACTACACATCAATGATGGCACTTCTTGATATGCAATGGATAAGTAACAAATTAAATTGAAAACTTATTTTTTTGAAAATGACAAAATTGAAACTTATTTTGTTGAAAAGGGATCCCTTTTGAAAATGACGAAATTGAATACTAGATACACCAATTAATGTTTTATACTTCCTTTTTTATTTTATGCCATTACACAAAAAAAAGTTATTCTAAATTACAGTAGTTTAAAAATATACTTTAAATTTGTGATTTGGTGTGTCCCGGTGGGGATGGTAGTATATCCCCGAAAAAAGTTAAGGAGGTGAGTCGAACGCGGGACATCCATATCTAGGTATTTGAGACTTTGACTGGCTCCACCACGCCACCTTACCACTTTGAATATCCAGCCATAACATAGCTTTTATATTTATTCAATTGAAACTTAGCATCTCCATCAATGGAGTAATTTGAGTATCATGTCAGATGAATTATGCTGGTCAACCAATAGAGTGGGTTGAAAAACTTTGTGTGCACAGTCGCAATTCCATGCATTCTCTCTCTCTTCATCCTTTTTTCTTTTGGTTTCAGCCCCTTTTTTTTAATGGTTTCAACCCTTTTCATATCCCATTTTTTCTATTTAGGGATTTTTTTTGTCATTTTATCCAAATATTAGTGGGGTAATAATAGTGGGGTAGTTGTGGCTCGAACATTATATAGTTGATGAGTGTAATATTGTTGGAGTAAAAAGTTGAGAAAAGAAGAAAGTGAGTGTTGTGTGTTTATGGTCAATGGTTTGATTGTTGATGCCAAAGGCAGGACCCATCATGTGGGGGCACCCATCTCCAGCGGCACAACTAATTTTTCTTGCAATATTACAAAGGAACATGAAGCAAACATAAAACAAAGGTATATTTTTTCTTACAATATTTAATCATCCATGTTTAATTAACTATTTAATCTTAATTTTATTGAATAAAAAAACGTACATTATATTCTTATTATCATAAGTAAACGAAAAAATTATTACAAAGGGACAAAAATTAGTTAAAGAAATGGAAAAAATGAAGCAGCAAATTGCTGCTCGTGAAGGGGATCATGACAAATAATTCTGATCCAGTCACGGGTGTCAAACATGGGAAAAACAGTAACGAGTTGATTGATTTGTGGATCCCGTCTCCTGCCTTTATAAATAGAAGGAAATCGGCACAAAAGAGCCTTAAACAGAGCATGAAACAGAATGTGTAACTGAGCATAATTTGCACATCCAAACATATATATTTTGATTCATAGAGTTTTTCATATTTTCATTTGAGAACGGATTGGGGTGGATCCACAACAACAAAAAAAAAAAAGACACATGAAGAATACCCGCATCAGCAAGGAAAGTGCGATCGAAATTGGTGCATAGAGCGCCACAGAGAAGTTTCTCTTTGTTTTGAGTGTTTGGACCTGGTGGATAAGTTGAAAATATTTGTCGATGCATGTTTGACAAATGAACGGTGGAAGAAGGTTTTG